CGATTCACACGAACACCAAGGACCCGGCCGATCAAACAGTCTAGAAATATGGAAGAAAACATTCTTCATGTATAAAAAAAGTAAAAGTGATGTCTTTTGACTGAGATTTCAGGTATAAAAACGAAATTCCTAAAGTCGGCTTATGTCTGTCTTGAGACACATTGCAATACTCATGCGGTGTGATCCTGGACGCAAACAGCAGGTGACAATGCAATTTTAGTACGAGTGAAAGATTGTAATTTGTCCTCTTTCCACAAAGAAAGTTTCTTGAAGAAATATTAAAGTACGCCATTATGTTTTTAACAGCGTTTCTTGCAAAGTCAGTAGGCATAAAGCAAAAAAACGATATCCAAAGTCAGGCCCGATCTCTTGAAAACAGAGACATGGAAACAGCAATTAGGTGAAGGATGTTCTGGGTGCATTCTGCTTTACTTCCACAGCAAGCCTTAAATTGTACTTACTAATATTGTTAGGCGTACTGAAATCGCACCAACCCCTCCGCATCAAAGTTACCTAAGTTTTGGTTTTATTCAAGCGTATTTTCGGATGTGTTTTGCGAATGTTGGATTGCATCCTCTTTCTTACTTGCATCAAAATAGTTAATCTGAAACTCGGTTTACAATATGGCGCCTTAAGGTCATATATAAGAGAACGTACTCAAAATTCCTGTCCTCGACACCGAAAGGGGAGAAATCATTGCTGACATAGGGATCCGGCAGATAGCCCTCATCTCGGAAGTTCCTTTTGTGGGGTTCGCGCGGAGGAAATATCGAGTCTGAAGCACAGCGTGAACGATCGCCTCGATACCTGCCACCATGACCGTAGAGGTCAGTGGAAGAACTGGCAAACGCCGAATTCCTCGAGAGTAATCTCAGGTGACGGGAACCTCGGTGGTAGTCATCGGACATGGGATAAAACCTAAGGTAAGTAGAACAGGGAACTCTAAGTCACGGAAAACGAGTTGAAATTTTCCCTTAGGAACCAAGCTCAAATATCATGGTTTCAAGCTATATGAGAAAAAGTCTTATCTTTCATCAGTGAAGCTAGTGTGTTGCCAAAGTTGCCTGAGAGAAAAATCGACGACAGAATAAAAACATTTCAGAAAACTAGCGAGGCTGAATTAGTAGTAAAGCATGCTTGCTGTCCTCGGCCAGCTAGGTGGAGGAAAGATGTAAACCCAAGGCATTATGATTGGGATTGGCCAAAGGCTACAATTCTACAATTGTCTAGTGATTTTTGTCGGAATAACTTCCCCAGTGCAAATGGTTTACTTGACCTAACTGCTGGAAGTCCGTTCACATGCAAGAATCTCGCATCCTATTTTTCCCTTTTTACCACATGTATACGCATGATTAACTTCAGGTTAAAACGCCGGAAGGAAAAGTCATGTTTCCAAGTTTTTTTTACTATGAAAGCTCTTCTACGTGGTCATACCTGAATAGCTAATTTGGCTTCCATTGGCGTTAACTGTGACCTATTCTGTGAGCTGAAATATAGGTAGCAAAACTGAAGGGTTAAAAGCACTATGGCCAGCCAACATGCGCAGTTCCTTCGCACGGGAGATACAGACAAATTCGAAATAAGCGCGTGTCTTTTGGACTGTTGCCTGAAGCCACCACGATCCTTTCAGCAGAAAAAATAGCATCATCAAGGGGGCCTCGAAAAGTCCGAAGGGAATAATTTTGACCTTTAACGGGACCA